CTCGCGGCTGCCCTCAGCCCGCTAGCCGCAGCCACGCAGCTGGAGGAGCTGAAGATGTTGCTGCTGCGACTGCTGCTGCGGCTGCAGAAGATGAAGCTGGAAAGCTGAAAGAAGAGAAAAAAATGTAACATGATTTAATGACATGAATTATTTATGAGTTTCCTGTCAATCAAAAACCACGTCAAAGCATTTTGATGGCAATGTCAACGCGCCAGCGAGCAAAACACACGCAGCTCCTCTCCACACACACACACACACACACACACACAGACTCAGCGGACAGGCCATACGAAATAAAAACTGAAAAGAAATACGCAAAGAAATATAAACCTAAATAAATATACTGATACAGGTAGTAAGTGAGAAAAACAAACTGAACTGAGGTAGATGCTAGGGGAACGAAGCTTTGGGCAAGCCAAAAGGAGCCTAAGAGGTAGACGAGCTGGCCTAAAATTTAATGTTTCAAGTTTTAAGTAGAGCTAAAGTTAATTTATAGTTTTTCATATAATATGAAATATTTAATATATTATACATTTTATATTTTATATTATCTATATAGATCTCATCACGCATAAAAATAATTGAAATAAGAAATTTATAAATGAAAATAAAACAGAAATTTGAATTCAATTGTTTTTATATTTCTTGTATGTTGTAAAATTAATCTCAGAATAATTTAATGAAAATATTTTAAATATATAGTTTAGTATAGTATAAATTAATAAAGATAAAAATAATCATAATAATAAAAATAAATTTATATTATATAGATATTTTAATAGTTAAAAATTTAATAAATATATATATATATATATTTCACTCAAAAAATATAGTTAAATTTTTAAAAATATTTAAAAAATAAAATATATAGAGTATATGTGTAGAGTGTATAGTCAGATTGATTAATCATTTAATTTGTATATTTTATCTTTTTATATTTATTATGCAGAAGTTAAACTCATAACAATTAGCCGTCCTTACGTCTCTATTCCTATCAAGTATCTACAGCTACTACAGGATGCTTTAATTAAATTTGCATGTCTTTTGATATATTTTTCAGCATGGAAACATATTCTTTAAATATATTTGGAAGACATCTCTGCAGTGCTTGACAGATCAATCGAGTTTTCTCTTATTGCTATGCATGGCACACAGCTACATATATCATATAGACTTCAGGCCCTGCCATTCCATTAAGTATTTATAGAGACTACAGTGCAGCAAATGATATGCTAATTCAGAAGCTTTTTAATCAAGGCCCTAAGCCAAAGCCACAGCCAAAGAGAAAGCCATGGCCAAAGCCAAAGGCAAAGGCAAAGGCAAAGCCATAGTATGAAGTGTATTTGCATCTTGTTTACTTTTTTACTTTTTTTTCTGCCATTGTTTTCTCTAGTGCTTACGCGCTGCGTGCTCCACGTCCTGTTGGAGCCACCGCCTATGTGGCTGAGTTCTATTGTTGCGCTCGAATGAAATCAATCATGTAATTTATGTTAGGATAATATGCCCCGGCCACACAGGCAACCCCTCTAAAATGGACTGTCAAGAAATAAATATTTAACAATAATTGATTTAAAAGGCGCATGCAAATTTTCCCTAAGAGCAGCAGGAGAAGAAGCAGGAGCAGCAGCAGCAGGAAGGGGCGCCAATCAAAAGTAAGATTGAAAGACGAGCACGCGGCCTGTCTCAGCTCGTCTTGGCCAGGCACGTGGGTAAAGTAACGGCTGCTCTTGAGTTGCGAGGGAGTCGTCTCTCTGCGTCTCGAGTGTTTTTTTGGCCCGCTTTTCCGGCTTTTTTCCAATTTCCTTGGCCGCTAAGCAAACAACTTGTCCGGCCCATGCTGTCGCTTAAGCGTGAAATTATATGAAATATCCTTTAAAAAGCTTTTGATTTCGCATCCTTCGCATCCAAAAAAAAAAAAGAAGAGGAAAAGTCCTGCAAGGACAGCGGCGCAGCGTGTCCTGGCCTGGCCTCGTCTCGCCTCGCCTCGCCTGGGCTTGTATGCAAATGTTGTTCATCTGCTTAGCGTAAAAGTTGTTTTCTTACTTATTTCAGCAACAAGGCTTTGGGTCCCGGGAAAATCGCATTTGCATGCCTTTGTCTGAAGTTGACCTCGTTGCTGTTGTTGGTGCGTCAGGTGTTGCTGCCAGGATACTAATGCTCCCCGTTAACGCTCTTAATGGCATAGACTGCATAATGGAGTTGCCAGGGCTCAGCTGTCGCCTGTTAGCTGTCGCCTCTTGGCTGTCGGCTGTCGGCTGTCGTCTGTCAGGTGCATTCATTCACCTGTTCTCTAATGTTAATGACATCTCCTGGGCCGATGCATCAGACCATTTTTGGATTCCTTGGAAAAAGTAGCTCAGTAGCTTGCGGAGCAAGTGAAAGGCCATGGCTCGGCTGGGAGGCTGGGGGCTGCTTAGGGCTGCCTGCCAGTGTGTATAAAAAGAGTAAAGGAGAAGAATAAGAAGAAGATAAAATTATCATTACTTCCGACTGATCACAATCGGCGCATACTAATTGCTCGGTCGGCTGGGCAACGTGGGTTTCATTCATGGCAATCATTGAGTAGCTGCCTCCAAACTTGGCATTGCTGAATGATTCTGCTGTGATTTTTTCCAGTCCGTCTAGACGAATGTCTCCCCGGTTCATATAAGGCAACGGCGACGCGACTCTCTCTCTCTCTCCCTCTCTCTCTGTTTCTCTCTTCACTCTAGAGGCCTGCTGATCTGCTGTGCTTTGGCCAATTCACAGGAAACGTAAACGGGACAAGTCGTCATGGCGGGGTCAGGGGACTGTTTACCCTTGCTTCTTACGAAACAACACAGCAAACACCAATCATCCACATCATTGTCAACACGCCATCGTCGCCGTCAGTCCATAAACGGACGCACCTTTTGCCTTATTGGGATGCCAGGCTCTGTGGCCTGTCATAACTCTTGGTAGGCGTACCATGAGCCCCGATCCCAGTTACCCAGCTCGCCACGAAATGGTGCACTATGCCTCTGCCTGGCCAAGACTCTTTCTCCTGTGGACATTCTCGTTGCCATTGCGTCCTAAAATGGCGCAGACGCCGCACCTGGGAATATCAAGAGCCAGCCAGCAGCTCTTCTCCTCGTCATACTTTCCAAGCTCCAAGAGCTATCAGTCGCTACGCTTCGATTCGTTCTCACTGCTCTTAGCTCGAATCAACTCAACTCAGCTCAGCTCAGCTCAAGTGTCAAGCGTCAATTGGCGTTGAAGTTTATTGCCTTGGCAGCAATTAAAGCGATTTCGTTTTGGGGCTTGGCCATGCGTAAAGGCAACGCATTTGATTTGATTTTTGATTGGCTGTCAACGGCAATTGATTGCAGAATTGAATTATCAAATTAGAGCGAACGAACGAACGAACGGCTCTCTGCACTCGTTTCATAATTGGCAGCCAATTGCATCCAACTCAACTTCTAATGAATGACTCAGACCCAGACTGACTGTCAGGCAATGTCATATGCTTTCTAGCCTCTAGCCTGTCGTTGAATGTGTAAACAGAGTATACCACAGGAAGGTATTGGAGGTATCTTTATAGGTATTACTAAAGTAGCTAAGAGCATTTGAGTTTTAATGTGAATAGAGAAAATGAGAGATACCATTATAAGTATTACTAAAGTATCTAGCAGAGTTAGATGAAATTAAAATAAATATGTATATCAAATCATATACATAAAAAACGTTTTGAATCATACAAATTTAATCATACAATTTTAAATGATAGATTGTAGAATGTTTATAATAGATTAGATTGTAGAAAGTGTTATAAACTTTATATAATCTAATCTATAAGCTTGTAAGAGATTTTATAATTTTAATCGTTTTTATCATGATTTGTTTTTAATTTTTTTTTTATTTATAATAAATCATTGTTAAAATATTGAATATAATGGCTTTGGCTTAGATAATGAAAGAAGGCAATGCATTAGTCCCTGCTTAGACCACTCAGCAATAGATCATAGCTTAAGCCGTATAGAATGATATATTTATACAGATTTTGATTAAGTGATAATGATAAATCATACCGAAATTTGATAACACACTTACATATTCTCTATCGAAACAAACTTTATTAGAAAACTATTTAAATTATATTTCTACTATTGATTTCCCATCTCCATGTGTGCATTCATGAGCATTGCTCCCCCAACTCCCGATATTAGTTTTGAATATTATGAAAATGCTTTGCATTATTTTGATGCTCGAATCCGTTTGGAGTTATTCCAATTGCCATAACTGATTGCCCGGGACACTTTTATTAGGCAAATTTCTTATCCTTCATTTGCTTTACAGCAATTTGGCTAAGTAAGTTTTTATTGCTGGCTTTTGGGTGTGCAGCAGCGCTTGCATAACTCAAAGGGAAAAATTCATCACCGCAATATGCGCAGCACAGACGACAACAGAGCAAGGAAAAAAGCTAGCAGAAAGAAAACAGTAAAATAGAAAAGTGCCAGCTAGGAAAATTGTCATAAAGGTGCAACTGACAACACCAGCAACAGCAACAGCAACAGCAACAGCAGCAGCAGCAACAGCAACGGCAGCAACAAGAAAAGCGAAGCTCGTAAATTTCAATTTATATGCAGAATGAGCAGTGAGTAAAAAAGGCACACACACACATGGACACGCACACATATACATACGCATGTGTATATGCAGCCAAGGAGCAGTGCGAAAAGTGTCAACGTGATATTTTCTCGAATTTCCCAAAGATTTCTTTTACTATTCTCATTTTTTTTTTGCTTCTTTTTCGTTTTTGGCCTGCAAGTGGAAAAAGCAATTTCATTAGACAAATTGAAAAAAATAAGTGCAAGGCAACAATAATAATAATAGACATGGCGTTGCCCGTTATATGAACAGCTTATGTACAGCACTATACATATATATATATATATCTGGTAACATATAAGCCTGGATAGACGCCATGTTGAACTGAACTAAAGAATTTCGTTGGTCGCTTCTCATTCGCTGCGTTTATTCTTGTTTGCTAACGCGCATACGAGTAGGAGACTCACACATACACACACACACACAGCTATACACATATACAGTTATGTGTATGCTCATCGCATGCATGATGAGTTGGCATCCAGCCCAGCAGGATGCTGCGCGCGCGTTGAAAATAGGCGGAGACTTGGCGGCCAACGGCGCCTTTCACACTTGAAAAGCAAACAAAAAAAAAAAAAACGAAAAGTAGAAAGAAAACCAGCAGCAGCCTGTGTGGAAAGCGCAAACACGCAAAAAAAAGGCAAAGAAAATGCAGGCGACAACCGTTAGCTGTTCGCTGCTGCTGCTTCTGCCTTATCACAGTGCCAGAGCTCGGCACGATTCGTTTCTGTTTGGCCGCATCGTCGTCGCTGATTGGAAGCTTCGGCGCGCTGTTCGTTTTTGGGGCGGAGCAAAAGCCCTGAGCACAGTGGCGCCGTCTGCATTGGGGAGCCAACAATGGGGGCTGTTTCTGACTGTTTGACTGTGTTTTTCTTTTTCTTTTTCTTTTTTTTTTTTGGGGCTTCTTTATTGAGTGCTAAGCTGCTCACAAGACATTAATTCCACGGGCAGCCTGTATCAGGCCGACGAATCCCTCCGTGGTCTCACGGGCCACAGGTAATATATACTCTGGCGGCAGCAGGAATCCGAATTCGCCCCTATCGCGTAGCTCCAAGGTAAAGGGTATGGTTATGTTCTTGACGCCATAGGCCCAGTCCTTGCCCGTACCAGAAACTTCATCTGAAGTGTTTAAGTACAGTTAACATATAGAATCAGAACAGTAGCCTATAGATCTTACATAGAGTTGCGGCACTGGATCCATAGCTATATGGAGTGCCATAGCGCCTGGAGACTGCATCGGCAAATCCTTTGGCTACGCCCATCATCTGCGGATAGTGTGGGGGAAACTCCTCGGCCGTATGGCCCCAGGGCGAGAGCACTAGCTGGCTATACGAGTGCATGGATATGTAGATTTTTATAATACCCTCCGGTATGGAGTTGTTAATGTAGCTCGTCAGTTGACTAATTTCCGGATCGGACTCGGGAGATGGACCAGCATAATGTTGACTGCAAGGATCAGCAGAAGCGCCAGCCTCTGAAAATCGATATCGATTTCATTGTAAAACTATAAGATTTTCCTAGTTGTTTACTTACCCATCCAGCGATAATTAAAATTGCGATTTAAATCGGTTCCTACGCATTCTCCAGTGGGATCCGAGCTCAGACGAGACTTTCGCCACAAACGTTCCTAAATAATCAAATTTGATTTGCTTAATGACTATTTACAATTCTAAAGAATATTATAAAATTTATTGAAGCCTCTTAGTTGTTTTTTGGCAGTTCTATAATCGATATATAATAATAACAACGATATAATCTTATCTTTATATTTACAGCAATCATCTATAGCACGGGGATTTTTTTTACACTTACCACATTGTGTGAGTAGCTAAAGCCATCCACATTTAGCACGGGAATAATGTACCAGTCCACATTTTGGGCTATATCCCTAACAGCCGGATTTCTAGGCACGAGCAGCTCATCGATGAAGTATGTGATCGTAGCCGAGGTGATCCATTCATTTCCGTGAATATTTGACTCGATGAAGACGGCGCTGTTGCCCGGCTTGTAGGATATCTTGATGCCACGTATGGGGCGACCCTCATGCGAGTTGCCAATCGAGAAGGGTGTGACTACGTGAGGGTAACGCGCCTCGATCAGATCCAGCCAGGCGTAGATCTCGTCTAGGGTGTGGTACTGGGTCCACTCCATCGAGCTCATTCGTTGCTTTGGCCGCTGCTCATCGATCAGGCGCTGCACGTTGTCGATCTTGATGCTATAGCTCACGTTGTGGCTGTGGAGCAAAGACTCAAACGCCACATGGTGCTGAGGCGACAGCATAATATCCGCTGAGTCCCCTGGACGACTCGCAGGCCGCCATTTATTAAGCTGTTTCAGAGGAAATTCTGTAGGAAAATAGGAACGAAATATGGCTGAACTTACCATCAGAGCTTTCTCATTCTCATTGAGCAGTTGGAGATCTGCGGCATCCTTGATATGGACTTTGTACAGAATGTAGTTGTCATAGCGCACCTGGTTAGTAGCTTTAGCCAGGCTCAGGCAGGCCAATAGCAGCACAAATTTTAGATACATACCTCTCGATCGAAGCACTTGCGATAAACTGCCCTTGTCTTAGCCATGGCCTATGCTTGTTGATTTGGCGATTTTATCGCTGGTTTTATTATATGCTTCATTGAATCGAAAGCAATTTAGTTTTTATATTATTTTATTTTTTTTTATCAGAATTGAAGCTTTTGGACACTTTGATTCTTGTAGCTGGCTGCCGTGTCAGCATAGAGCTGAGAACTTGAAGTTGTCTGGGCAAGCCCCGTGGTACTTAGGCTGTCTCTCAACTTTGCACATAAATTTTGTGCAACGGCAGCCCATTTCATTGTAGGTCACTGCATAATGAAGGCACCGCCCCGGAGCACATAAATTTCTGTGCTCGCTGGTGGAGATTTCAGCCTTCAGTTTGACTTGTCGCCGGTATTAGTGCGAAATTCTGTTTAGGCCTTTTTATGCCTCCGAGCTGTCCTGCGGCGAGTGCTTAAAGGACTTTCGGCTCTTGGTCATATTTCGCGCGGCTCTCACAGATTCGCACAGCTAGCTGGGGGTTGTAGTTGCTCTTGTCGTTGTCACCGCATGAGGTGTGCCAACGTGTGTTTTATTAACGACCCTTCCGGGAGTGTGAGGTTTTTAGATGGTGCCACTTGGCCAGAACGCCACTCGCACACCCATCAAACTTCCCAGGCAGTTAAGGGCATCCAGTGTGGGGTGGCAGCTTTTACATATATACTTCCTTAAAAAAATATGTAGATATCAACTAGGTCTTAGTAGTTGGTAACAGCCAATTTAATGTTAATTAAAATTAAAGCTCGTGCGCCAAAATCTTTATGGATTGTTTATAAAAACATAAAGCTTTAACGATAAACATTGATTTAAGTTGATTTTGTATGCGTGTGATAGTCAATATAAAACCTCAATAGCTGATAAAAATTTCGACCTAACGCTATCTATATCGATAAATGGCATCCATCATATATCGACTATTTATGATTTACCTAGGCTGTGGCTTCATCAGATAATATTGTTTTTGATTAACTTGATCAGCCTATTATCCTTATAGCCTATATCTATTTTGTATATATCGTATTCTGTTGGATTGATAGATGTCAAATTACCTGTCAAATAATATAATCTGTGCTTATATCGACAGCCGTTTAATTATTAAAAAGTTTTTAGAGCTTACTGTTGAGCTTTTATTGATCGATGTTAAGTTGTCTCTGTTCATCGATATTATATCGATAAGTTGCAAGTTCAAAAATATGTACATGCTGTAATATTTATCATTGATATTAGTTAGCTTTAAAAGTTATGATTGTAATCAATACCTGCCCTACAGCAGAGCCTTATGAGTGATATAGTATCGCAGCTGATCGATATCTTATCGCCTATTTAATAGCTCTTAGTTGGCCGCTCGTTATCAGTCAGCAACATGAACTATTGTTCTTTGGCATAGCTTAATTTAGCTAATTTACTGTAAACGCCAAATATCAGTTAATAAAATATCGATCAACTCAAATGAATTTTACTTTCAGTTGCTTATCGACTGCTGCTGCTTGTAGAACCTCAGCTGAGAGGATAGAAATTATTTGCCGTGGCTAGCTCTGGTAGGAGCGGATTTCTATGCTCCCTCACCAGTTGCGAATTCTTACTCACCCTAAACTCAACTAGACCCTGGACTAGTGCAGATAACATGTACCGCTATGGCACCACGCAGAACTCTTTGCTTGGATTATTTTAGTCTAGAGCATGCAGCTATTCTGTTTACTAGAGACAACTGTGGTTCTGTGGGGCGACATTCTACTGCTAGCTGCTCAGCAATGTTCAGCTCTAACAACAATTAGCTGTGGCTTATTTGATTAGCGCGCTAATTGCCAGCAGGCAGCGACTCGCACCAATAAATTCATGCACATTAATTTCTTATCAGCGCGCAATAAAGCTAGCAAGCCGGATTAAAGCCGTCCGTGTCATGGGGAGGGGCCTGTGGCGAAAAGTTGCGTTCAACAACTTTCAACACCTTGGCGCGTGGGGCGTGGAAATTGTGTAAAACTTTTAAGCAAAGAAAAACTCGTGGTTGCGCGTGCGATAAGCCAGCGCCGCATATTTAATTGCACTGAGCTGGCCCAGAATACTTTGGGGGCAGCTTTAAGACAGCGAGTCGCGCTGTTAGCCGGATGCCAGTCCTTAAAATGTCATAAATACTGTGGACAGCCGCTTCCTGGCGTGCTTTTTTTTTTACCGCACTCTGCTCTTGTTAATTGTGGCTAAAAACATTGACATTAAATAAATCGGGAGTCCGATGCAGACGTGGCGTATGCGCAATATTTGCAACAAACTGAAAGAAATGTCAATGCCGGAAAGTGTTTAGCATTTGCCTCCGTTTGCTGTTCTCCGCCTTTTTTTCGTAGCCACATGTGGATTTAATTAGCCTTAAAATGTCCCAGCTCCACAAATGGCAGCTTTGCATGCCATGCGAAAAGTGCCCAAGGACCAAGGATAAGCGAAGCGAGCCCCGCTAGGAAGGAAGTTGCATGTTTGCCTCAAGTTCAATTTGCTTGTTTAAATATTTTTTGGACAGCTCTTCACGTATGCGCTGAGCCGCAGTTATGAAATGTGGAGGAAGCAGCATGTCAAGGTTTTTGGCCACAACTTTGAAATATGACCCAGCTACTTTTAACGGTTTTCCAACTGCTAAATAGATTTTCTTTTTGTTAAATGTGACGTATATAAATAAACCAAATTTAAGAATCCCAAATGAATGATTTTTCTAGAATAACTTAACCAGATGACTAGAATATTAAAATATTTTCCCAGTTTTAGACTCGCGCTTTATTAGAGTATATCGATTTCACGAGCTGCCTGTATCATGCCCACAAATCCCTCAGTGAGTTCTCGGGACACGGGTATGATATACTCGGGGGGCAATACGAAACCGTATTGGCCCTTGTCAGGCAGCTCTATGGTATAGGGTATGATAATGTTCTTCACGGCATAAGCCCATTCTTTACCTGAACCAGAAACTTCATCTAAAATATCAGAGAGTTCATTAGATAAATATAGTTTTCTATAAATAGACGAGTCTTACAAAGAGTCGTAGCACTAGAGCCATAAGTGAACACCGTGCCATTACGTCTGTGGAGAGCATCGGCAAATCCCTTGGCCACAGCCATCATCTGTGGATAGTGTTCGGGAAACTCCTCAGCCGTGTGGCCCCAGGGTGAGAGCACATATTGACCGTAGGAATGCAGGGATATATAGATCTTAATGCTGCCCTCCGGTATGGAGCTGTTGATGTAGCTTGTCAACTGACTGATTTCCGGATCGGATTCGGCGTAGGGACCAGCATAAATTTGCTCGCAAGGATCAGCAGAAGCGCCAATCTCTGAAGGGAAATTTATCTGTACTATTAATAGGTATACCAGTTTACATAGACATTAGCTTACGCATCCAGCGATAATTAAAGTTGCGATTCAAATCGGTTCCTATGCATTTTCCTGTGGGATCGGAGGGTAAACGCGATTTACGCCAAAGACGTTCCTAATACAAAAAGAAATCATAAAGATAATCAAAAACTGGAATAGCTGCCGATGCGATTGATAAGGCAGAAAAGCGCCTCGTAATCGAGTCGGCACTTATGTTGTTTGGATACAATCTTATCTCAAATATATGGTGGGGCTACCAAACTATTTATGGGGGCTTACCACTTCGTGTGAATACACAAAGCCGTCCGTATTTAGCACAGGTATTATGTACCAATCCACACTCTTAGCTATGTCTCTGACAGCCGGATTGCGCGGCACGAGCAGCTCATCGATGAAGTACGTGATGGTAGCCGAGGTGATCCATTCACGTGCGTGAATGTTCGACTCGATGAAGACGGCGCTGTTGCCCGGCTTGTAGGAGATCTTGATGCCACGTATCGGACGACCCTCATAGGACTTGCCAATCGTAAAGGGCGTCACAAGGTGCGAGTAAAGCTTCTCGATTTGATCCAGCCAGGCGTAGATCTCGTCCAGAGTGTGATACTGTGTCCACTCCATCGAGCTCGTTCGTTGCTTTGGCCGCTGCTCGTCGATCAGGCGCTGCACGTTGTCGAACCTGAGATTATAGCTCACGTTGTGGCGGTTGAGCAGCGATTCGAACACCTCCTGGTACTGAGGCGGCAGCATAATGTCCGAGAATTCGCCCAGATTGCGCGCCTCACGCCATGTATCGAGCTGTTTCAGAGGAAGGGCTTTAGGTAAATACACACAAATAGAGCTGAACTTACCTTCAGCACTTGCTCATTGTCATGGAGCAGTTGGGAGTCTTGCAGATGATTGATTTGCACTTGGTATAGCTTGTAGTTGTCATAGCGCACCTGTCCGGCAGTCCTAGCCAGGCCCAGGCAGGCCAACAGCAGCACAAGTTTTAGATACATACTTCACCAGCGAACGATCAGTCGTCGACTGTCTGGGCCTTAGCAATAGTCTATGACTTTTTGATAAGCTCCTCTTATCGCTAGTTGCTGAGGTGAAGGTATAATACAATAAATAACTGTATTTGGTGCTTTGGCCCAGAATACTTTGGGTGCAGCTTTAAGACAGCGAGTCGCGCTGTTAGCCGGATGCCAGTCCTTAAAATGTCATAAATATCGCGGACAGCCGCTTCCTGACGTGTTTTTTTTTGCCGCACTCTGCTCTTGTTAATTGTGGCTAAAAACATTGACATTACATAAATCGGGAGTCCGATGCAGACGTGGCGTATGCGCAATATGTGCAACAAACTGAAAGAAATGTCAATGCCGGAAAGTGTTTAGCATTTGCCTCCATTTGCTGTCCTGTGCCCTTTTTTTTCGTAGCGGCATGTTGTGGACTTAAGTAGCCTTAATATCCCAGCTCCAAGGCTAAGCGAAGCGAGCCCCGCTAGGAAGGAAGTTGCATGTTTGCCTCAAGTTCAATTTGCTTGTTTAAATATTTTTCGGACAGCTTTTCACGTATGCACTGAGCCGCAGTTATGAAATGTGGAGGAAGCAGCATGTCAAGGTTTTTGGCCACAGCTTTGAAATATGACCCAGTTACTTTTGACTCTTTTCCAACTGCTAAAGAGCTATTCTCTTTGTTAATGTGACGTATATAAATAATCCTAAGAAATTAAACAATTTTATAGAATAACTTTACCAGATAAAGGCTAGAATATTAAAATACTTTCCCAGCTTTAGGGTCGTGCTTTATTACAGTACATGAATTTCTCGGGCTGCCTGTATCATGCCCACGAATCCATCAGTGAGTTCACGTGATACGGGTATGATATACTCTGGAGGCAATGCGAAACCGTATTGGCCCTTGTCAGGCAGCTCTATGGTATAGGGTATGATAATGTTCTTCACAGCATAGGCCCATTCCTTACCCGCACCAGTAACATAAGCTATAGTATTAGAGAGTTAACTAGATGCATATAGTGTTCTATAAATAGACGAGTCTTACAACGAAGCGTAGGACTGGAGCCATAAGTAAACACCGTGCCATTACGTCTGTGGAGAGCATCGGCAAATCCCTTGGCCACAGCCATCA